GAGCAGCAGCCTGAAATACTCATAGACACTGGGTCCCTACAAAATCGGCCAGACGAGGGAAGTTTCAGGTGCCTCTGCATGCACAATTTAGGTTTTGTGGAATGGATTAGTCAGTTTTATGAGAACTGGAACAAAAAGTAATTGAATATTCAAGCAGCTCTTAAGAACTGTATTACCTGATGCAAAATTGTTGCTGTTGTGGATTTTTGCAAACATGAAAATACAAAACTTTTACAAAGGTGAAGATTTAGGGGAAGTGCTAAAATTATGCCATTATCATCCCCAGGTAACTATATGGCCTTTAATGAGGTAACAAAATGTATGAAGTAGAAATTAAACTAGAAATTAATAATGTTTCTTAATGATCATTAGCTCAAGAGTACTTAGGGCTGGGATTGTAAAAGGAGTCTAAGGCAGTTATATGCTAAGTTTAGAGTGATCTGGGGACTTGGGAGGATTTAACTGCCTGTTTCTCTTGGGTTTCTCTGAAATCCCAGCTGTGCTCTGTACACTCACACACAGCAATGGTCTGTCGGTCTGTCTGTCTGTCTGATTGCAGGAGAGCCTCCTCTTTGTGCAGTATGTACTGTGCCAGGCAGACCTTGGCTCAGACCTGCAGTTACTGCCTTTGTGTCACATTTATCAGAGAAACTAAGCCGTGTCCATTAGATAATTTATATACTGCAGCTGCTTCTCCATCAGAGTTACCCAGGACATGATTGAGCTGTTTTGCATCTCTTGCTGGGCTGAGGACTACAGACAGCAACCCAAAGTCATTGTCCTGGCTGCAGGCATCACCCTCATCCCATGCCCTCTGCTTCCATCCTGACATCCCGTGGGCAGGGGAAGAGAAAGCATCACAAGCAGCACTGGTGACTGGGAAACTGGCCCTACATGGCATGGAAAGAGTTGCAGGAAAGGGATCAGTGCGGAAGAGGTTGTATGGCCTCTCCTCAGCTCTGCTGCTTGTCATAAATGAGATAATGTGAGACTATGCCAAAAGGCAACAAGATAGGGCGTGTTGTGTGATGTTACAGAAAGGGCAGGTCATAAACACTGCAGAGAGGAATTAGCTATGCCCTCATGTGAAGATACTAATATGTGGGCTGTTCATTTATAAAAATTTGGTTGGACTTTTTTCAGATTCCCTCCACTGCCTGTGTTTACAACTTCCTTTTGTCCTGTTCTGCCTTTTCCCAGCCAGTACACATGGTACTTTAACTCACATCAAAATCCTTTCCTCTCTCTTTGGCAGACCTGTTGGGACAGTGTCAGTCACTATGTCAGCCCTAACATCCAGAAAATCCTTCCAATAACTTTAAAGAACTCCTTTCACCTCTGCAGCATTCATACCTCCCTAAATATACCTCACAAGGTCTGGGATTTGAATTCCTGGCTATTACTCTGTTCAGCAAGGTGTTCCTGGCACAATGAGCTGAATAAGAGATAAGAAAAGCAGGTACAATTTGGTTTATGAAAGATGAGATGCTTTGCTGTTTTGCAGATTAGCTCTCCTGTATGGTTTTATCTTTTGTTCCACCATCTCTTGGATAATGGAAACTTCTACTTAGCTCTCTTTTGACTGGTTTTGGATCTCAGTTTTGATGTTTATGTAGTAGATATTTCCAGTTTAGGTGTTACTGAATCAGATCTCTGAGGACTAATGACTCAGATGGTTAAAGAAGCGTGATTTTAGCACCCTGTATGCTGACCATGCTAGGGAGAGTTTTGATTCCAGAATACTTTCATTTAAGAGCACTTTCTCTATGTTACTGAGAATAAGAGGTCTACAGAGTATATAATGTCAGACACTGGAGAGGAGAGAAGGAAGGAAGAGAACTGGACACTGTGCAAGAAATGAAGAAGAGTGTACAGATGTGGAAAGAAAAAGGCAATCTCCTGTTTTCTTTCTTCAGGTAGTTAATGATGAGCTCAACAGTTAAATCCTATTGAGATATGCTCATTGTTATAGAGAAATACTGCTCCTCCAGGAAAATGTATTTGTGCTTATTATTGACCACCATATTTGGTTGCACCCAATACATCAAAATAATCTAGGCAGGACCACAAGATGGTAAAGAAAAAATAATTTTCTTCTAAATATTGGGGTTTGGTGGTTTTGTTTGTTTGTTTTTCTTTTTTCTTTTTACATTTACACAGGGTAAATGCGCTCTGTGTTTTAAATGATCACTTAAAAAATTAAATTATATTTCCTTTTTTTCAGAAACAACAAGCTACAATGTTATTACTTTCAGGCCTTTGTTTAAAAATGTGATTAGTATTTTTGCAGAATGTGTCAACAGGGATTACTATTTTGAGCACCTATAAAGATGATGGGTTGAACTGATCCTTGACACAAGAAGTAACTCCCCAAGCCCAGCAATTAGTCAGCTATAGGATGAGTGTGAAGATACTAGTTAGGCTTAATTGCACATAATCATTGAGAATCAATATTAAAAGAATGGTGCTTGCCCTTTATTGCCAGTGGGTAGAACCAATAATTGTAATGTTGTGTTAATTTAAGGCTGCTTTCCTGTTCACCTGCTTGAATTCATGGGAATTTTTAGCAGTTTCTCTGCCTGCCTTTCTGAAACTCGTTTTTCATTTATGACAAATTTAAAATCAGTAGGCCAGAGAATGAGAGCAGTGATCACAGCATGGGAGATGCAACAGAAGGAAAGAGTCTGAAAGTTATCTAAATTAAAGTAAACTACAGCAAAAACTACTGCAGAAAATAGAGCTTCATCCTCTAAAACACAATGCTACTGATTTAACTATGTGCCAATGTGACTCAGTTATGACAAAGGCAAACACAGTCCTGTCTCCAGACAGTGCCCAGTGTGATTGCAAATCTCATGGCTGACCTGCACCACCTGCCTCCACGTGGGTGATGTGACTGACACGCACACAAGACTGAACCCTGTCCCCACCCTGAGCATCCTGATGCTGCTCCCCTCCACAAACCCCAGCTCAAGAGCTGCTGTGAGTGCTCTCAACTGCTGCTCTGAGTTGCACCCATGCATTCCCTCTTCCTACATCAAACCTCATCACAAGGATTCAGTTCTCTTGTGTCTGGCGCTTTGGCTTTTAAAAAGAGACTGGATTTTTTTACTAAATCTTGAAACTCTCCTTCTTTCAACATCTGAAATCAGTCAGGGCATGAGGGGGGAGCACTTGGTGCAATGACAAGTAAACACAACTTGGTGCTAAGTCCTGCCAAACTCTTCCTGGCAGCTTTGTAATGTGCTTGTGCCAAACAGATGTTGAAAGCTGGCAGCTATGGATGTACTTTGTGGTGCAGCTCATGGCAAAGAGAAAAATCTACACTGAACAAAGCAGCTCATTCCAGGCTCTTCCCCTGACCTGCTCAGACCACACTACCTTGCCCCTCTGTCCTCTACACACCATAGTCCAGATTTAGTGTGTTAGGCTTAAATAGCAGAGGCCATCCCTTACAGCATTTGCAGAGTGCCAAACACAGTGGGCTCACATTTTGGAACAGACCCATACAACTGCTATCAGGAGAAAATTCTAATATGCCCTTGGCTGTGAGGTATTCCACAATGAGTGCTCTTGGACTCCTGGATTGAATATTTTTACACACACACAAACACACACCTGCTTTTGGGATCATGCAGAGTCTAAATGGAGCACAGGAGTCATGATGTCACTTGGAACAAAAGGGAATTTGATGTTCCCCTGGTAGAGAACACTTAAGTCTGTTCTTACTTTTGGAGACTGTCCTCTTATGAATGAATTACATTTCAAAAGGTTTCCCCCTGTAACATAGGAAAAGGGAACCTAATTGCCAGATATTCCTGCAGGAAAACCTTTCTCTTTCAATGTTCTTACAAAGAGTGATTAGAAGAACAGCCCTGGGGGGCTAAATACTAGTTCTATAAAAGGTGGTCTAAAGTCAGTGTTGCTTCCTTAAACCACAGGTGTTTATTCATTACAATTCTACAGCAGTGCCAATAAACACCACAAAGCCAAATAACCCAACAGCTATAAATCTTTCTCCCTGAAGCAATGATAGGCACTTGAGATACGATTTGCCAGTCCTTGTAAATGTGTAGGACTACACTACTTCCATTTTATTCTGGGATTCAGTCCAGTGGTCAGTGACAGGTGATCAAATCCAGATCTCTCATCACTCTAATGTCATTTTATTTCTTCCATCTGTGTGTGGCTTAAGAATGTTCCCCAACAAAAAGCAATAGAGACTGTACCCAACCAAAGTCATACCTCAAAACTGAGGGTGGCTCATGTCATCTGCATGACTCTGCCTTCTCTCCCTGCCCCTTCTCTCAGCTCTCTGTGCCTAGCAGGGGTGACAATGGTGAGATGAAATGATTTCTTCTTTGTTTTTGTCACAGTAGGGTAAGTTGTCCAGTCTGCCCACCACAGGCTATTTCTGCTGGTGCCTGCACAGGGAGGAGAACCACACAGTAACCAAAAAAGAGCTCAAAGCACCATGCAGGCTGGTCCTGCTCTTCCATCCTCCATCCAATTTCAGCAATGATAGCCTCCCTTCCAGATGACTCTGCAAGCTACCAGGATTCAAAGCTGTGTTTGTTTCTGTCATGCCTGGTTTACTTTTAACTGATGTACCACTTAATTGCAAAAAGCACTGGCAGAAAGCAAGCTGCCTTCAGTTTCTTGGCCTTGTTTTTCAGTGTTATTTAGATGCCAAATAGGCACCTGATGGCACAGCCAAAAATATAAAGAGAAGATAACTCTGCTTTTGACCACCTTCCATGAAGCATTCCTGACTGGGTTAATGTTCTGCACAGAAACCTGTCTCTCATTTCCTAGATGGATTTTACTCCTTTGCTAAAGAGACTGTAGAAGAATCCCTTATGTGTCATTTAAGTTCTGAAAATGAAGCCAAAAGTCATTTGAAGGATGAATAGGGGTTGTGGATAGGGGTATTCTTTTTCTCACAGCTTTCCTGATATAATTTTCTACTCTGCCACAGCTATTTTATTTTTCATTTCTAGTTTTTTCTAACAGAATACACCGGGCCTCTTCTCATATATCTGCTCTTCTACATTCGCCTCTCGACTATTTATGATCAAGTGGAAAGCAGGAAGAACTTCCGCCACCCAGTGGTTCAGTAAGTGACACTTGTGGGAATTATTTTCCCAGATCATGAGAAACCAAGGGGATGGAGACTGCATTTCCAGAGCTCAGGAAGTTACAGGGGGTGTGAGGCTGCCTGCCTGGTGTCAGATTCAGTTATTACCAATACCTGTGCGTCATTTTAGCAGCACTTGTAAGCTTGACAAAAAATGGGATCCCAGTAATGGTCACTGCACCTGGTAACCATGGAGATGCAGTGTTTTCCCTAAATACTTTGACATCAAATCAGAAAGTGAAATAATAATCACAATGGATAGAACCCAAAGTCATGCTTGACAGAGAAGACAAGACTTCAGGTGCCCCACTCCCAGTTGCCTTAAAGCACATTCCTGCACTTGAGATGAGCAGCATCAGCATCCAGCATGGAAGTTACCTACCCCCACACCAGCTCTCACCTAGGCCCAGGAAGGAGGAAGTTCAACAGGTGTGCATGTCATGAACTAGGTCAAGAAACTCGACAGAAGCATCTCCACAGAACGGTGGTAGAATGCACCAGGCAGACTGGGAACTTTCACACTTAAAGGAGCTTTCCTTCAGTGGAGTTGTCCCCATTCTGGGTGATTAGTGCCTGGCAGAAGGGTGACAAGTGATCAAGGAAAGCCTGTCACCTGCATAAACTGGACCATTTATAGGAGGGTACACAGGCACCTAGGAGGCTCAAATACTGAACAACTTTCCCCCACATTTTTTCCACACTGTGATTGCAGAATCAGGGGAACTGGTACACAGCAGAGAAATACAGTGAGTGTAATAATGCCATTTACAGATGGAGGAACAGGCACTTGGAGAGACATTAAGGGAGTTAGTGGAGCTGGGAATGAGAACACAGAATAATTGAATTCAAATCCAGAGCTGCAAGATACTTGTCTTCCTTCTCTTGTGCATACACTTAAAAGGAGAGAATTTTTGGCAGCACAGAAGAACCTGCAATGCCTTTGCCTTCTTTTATGTGGGCAAGGGTTGTGCAGAATCCTGCCAGTGACCACTCCTTAACAGGTTCATCTGAGGTCCCCATCCTAAGCCAAATTAATTTTAAAATTTCCAGCAAAGCTGGAAATTTGCTCCAGGCTTTGGATAAGTCGTTAATTGTTCGAAATTCTCTTAGCTCAACTCTCTCTGGTTTAATTACTTTGAAATTGTTTAATCTTTGACTTTAGCTACCATACACAATGCATAATAAAATTATTTGAGAATTCACATGCTGAAAAATGCTTTTCATTTATGTCTTATAATTGGTTTGCAGCAAGAGGGGCTATGGTAGTACAGTAAATGTAACCAAGATAAAATGCCATCAGGAATCACTCCTGACATTTGTTTCTGAAACTCAATCACTGGGAGCTGCAGCTCATTCTCGGAAGCAAATCAGCAATGCCTGTTATTGTTTCATAATCTTCCTCAAAAGAGAATCAATATAATAATTTCTACCACAATTGCCTCATTTCTTTATAACAGGCAACGAAAAAGCCATCAGAATGGATTAACTTGCAACAAAATCTCATTTTGCGTCCACAAGGAAATGAAACACAAACTACCTCCATGCAGCTACTTGAGTTGGCAAAGGACAAGGAAACCATTCAGAAGATATTCAGAATGTTTTTAAATGTCAGACACATCCTACAGGAGCATTAAGGTGGCCTTAAAATGTGGGAGACATCTTTTGGAAAGGCGCATCAGACGCCTGGCTGTCCTGTCTAAATGCCTTGTCAGGACTATGTATCACATTCACAGCTCGAGGAGCTCTTTTTATTTCAAGGCTAGTAAAAATAAGTTGCTTCCCTGCAAAATGCAAGCAACTTTGTCTAACACTGAAAATGATTCCATCAATCTTTGGTTCCAGATGCTTCAATTAAGACAGTATCTTAAATCCCACAATTTTAATGTGACTGCAGTTTTGGAATATTAGTTCTTATTCCTTTCATGACATTAACGGTGAAGTAATAAAAACAATCTTTCACTTACCTTAATTTCCTTTTTTTTTCCTCTTGCAGCTTAGCCTGCTTCTGTCACTGTTTACACTACATCCGACATCTTCTGGAGACATTATTTGTTCACAAGTTTTCGGAAGGGCACACTCCTCTGAAAAATATGATAAAGGTGACAATATTTTTATCATCTTGTGTAAGAGAGAATATCCTCATACCAAAGAAGTCCTTGGAAGAAGATAGGGAAATAAAAATTAATTTATTTTGTAGCTCCAGGAATTATGTTTAGTGAAAATACAGATAACAGGACGGATTTCAGGACCATGTCCCCAAGGACATAAATTGAAATCAATGTCCATTTTTGCTCCTGCATGTAAATGTCCACCTCGACTCATTCACCCAAGGGGCTGATTGTCAAGTCCAGGATATTTTTCAGACTGAATACTATTTTATGGTGATAGCTGCTGCTGCAACATCTAGCAGTGTTGACAGAAATCATACACTGCTTCCTTGGTGCAGTATAAATACAGAGCAAGAAGCAGCCTTGTGCTAGAGAGTGAAAATCAAATTACAAGTAGGAAAAAACCATTCTCTTTCTATAGATGGAGGCCCCAGGCAGGAAGATACTGAGCTGGCCAGACCTTCTCTCTTCCAAAGCCTCCTGAATTTCAACAATGTGTCATTACTCACAGGCCTTCTTTTATTTTATTTTACACACTCTATCTTGGCCACTTTGTATCACCCCTCCATCCCATTCAGTGTGACGTAAAGACCGTCCCTTTAAACATTTAGGATTTTGGTGAAGGAGATTAACACATGGCTACGATATAGGGCTTCACTTTTACTCTTTCTTGTTTTGTCTGGTTCAGTGTTCTGTTTGTCTTGCTCTATCTTGCTTGGAAATGCTGAATTTCAGGTACAGTAACAGCTCAGCTGTGTTAACCAGCCCTAGTCTTTTAATAGCACTGCTCATAGAAATGTAATCTTCTGCAGTAAAAGGAGAAGATGAGTGCCAATTCCTACAACAGGAACAAAACACATTCAACACACACACACACAAAAAAAATCTACACTGTGTCCCAAATTTTTTTACTGACTTCACAGCAACTTAGAAAGATATGTATTCTAAGACTCACAAGCAACTGCAAAGCCTTTCAGTGGTCACCCAGGTTTTGCACTTGGCAGAATTTATACTTTGAAAATTACAGTTTTCACTTCCTTATTGCTCTTTCAAAAAAATGATCTGTCTGTTCCAGGGCTGTGCCTTTTACTGGGGATTCACATCCTGGATCGCATACTACATCAACCACCCCCGGTACACGCCGCCATGTAGGTATGGGTAGGACACAAAACTGACAAACTCCCTTTGAAAAACTCTTTGCCGTGTAACCTGAAGTTCTCCAAAATCAAGAAATGGGTCTCTCATGAAATCATATGACTGATTCTTTGTGCCTGTTCAGCAATGGTCAGTTGCTGTCCAGTTTACAAACAGGACATTTTGGACAAGCAGAGAAAACACAAAGATCAATATAGTTTGCTCATCTTCACAATATTTGTGTTAAAGAAGGGAAAAGAGAAATAGAGTTGGTTGTATTTTCTTGGAGGAGATATTTATTTGCTAAAGATACATCCTTTTCATGAAAATTAGTGGTGTTTTTTTTTTTTTTCCCCTGAGAAACCAGTAAAAATCCATCACATACTGCTGGTAACATGAAGACTTTTTTTTTAATTTTTGGATTTCATAAATTGTTTCATTCCCTCTCATCATATTTTATTGTTGCACTGCTGTTTCTTCATGATTTTTTTTAATGTTTGCCCTCTGCGCTTTTGCTTCTTTTGAGAATAATTGGCAGAGGTTTTATTTTCTGCTACTTGTTGTACCTTAGCCTTTGCTTTCCTCTGTATCTCAGATTTATATATGAACTTCAGGGAAAAAGCATTTGCTTTGCCATCTTTATTTACACTTAGTTAAATTGCTAAGTTTTTCCAATCAAAAATTTCTCCTAGATGACACTTGTTTTTCTTTCAAACTAGCACAAAAGCTCTACTTCAAAATTATGTGATTCATTGAATGACAGTTGGATTTGGTGTGGCTTTAACAACAATGCTGCAAACAATGCAGAAACCTCCCTAGACACAGTTTTTAGCAGCCTGGGCTATCAAATCAATAAGTGCAGCTTCTTTATAGGGGAACTCTTTGTTCAAGACACAAAAGAGGAAGCATCCAGAAGAAATATTTCTAATTGCTTGCCACTGCCTTAAAATGCCATTGGCACAACAGAGGGGTCCTGTGCCAGCCAGGAAAAAGGAGCTCTCAAAAGTAAAACTTGATGAGACATAGCCAAGGCAAGTGAGGTATGTACACATGGTCCAGAGGGGTCCTGTGCCAGCCAGGAAAAAGGAGCTCTCAAAAGTAAAGCCTTGTTGAGACATAGCCAAGGCATATGAGGTATGTACACATGGTTTGTGTCCCCCAGCTATGACCAAGGTTTGCTTGGGAGCTGTAAACCTTTGGACATGAACATGGTAGAGCCCTACACTGGTTTGGGGACAAGCAGAAAAAGGAGGGGGCAGCCAGACGGTAGGTAAAATTTACAAGTATTAAATGTATTTCTTGCATGACTGTGAAGCAGGTAGTGGCTGTGTAGTAAAGCCTCACTATTGCCTCACCAGTAAAGTAAAAAGAAGGTAATGGATAGGTTATGCATTGAGTTTTCTGCTCATGGAAATAGAAGGGTCTATGGATAAGGCTGCAATTCTCACCCTGATTTTGACACTGACCTTCACTCCATTCCACTCCCCTCCTTGCCTTTTCAAGGTATTCACCACCACCAGCTGCTTTGACAAAACAGTTGGATATATCAAGCTGGCAAATACTAAAAAAAGTTGGGTGAAAACTGCCTTGAAATCAGTGGTGTAAAACTGGCATTTCTAGAGTGCTGTTACTGGTTGTATTGTCTTCATATTGTGTGTGGTAATATCCAATTTCTGCAGAGCCTGTCAGGAAAGAAGCATTTCTGCTCCTCAGCACTAGATTAATTTCATCCATAGCAAACCATGTGCATACCGTAAAATGCAATTTATAATTTCATTCTGTTTTCTAGCATTTGGCCACAAACAAGTTTCTTACGCTGCTCTTGCTTTTCTGGTATGTACAAAAATGAAGTTTTATTTATGATTATGGAATAGGATCAAGTCACAATTTAGCAAAATGCAGTAATGCTTCTGTGCATTTGTGTGTATACATATATATAAGTCCATGTCCACAGCTTTGTGTACTTTGACTGGATTTAGCACTAATCTATTAAGGCTTCTCAGTCAGGAAGTGTCCTACTAATATTTAGGTACACAGAGTTTAAACTGCAGTACTTTATCTGAGAGATGTGAGAACATCATTAGCATTTTTACTACTGGTAATTGTGTTAGAACACTAATATTTAGACAGACTGAACCTTGTCATTTTTAAAACACTGAAGAATTATGTACCAAGCAGACTTTGCAATAGTTCAGTGTACCCTGAATAACTTACATCGACAGCTATTAAAAACAATATAAATAAACACTTCCAGATTGGGATAAACCAAGGGAAAGAGTAGCTGATGAAGGATGGCTGAGACTACACAAGCTGCTGTTTGAACATAACTTTATAGTGAGACAGAGGCTTGGTAAGAAGTTATCATGGAAATGTATATCCTCTCTGTCCTCTGGAACTGCTGAGGCAGAGCCAAAGCATCCTCTTTGAAAATCAGATACAGATCAGTTTCCAGAAACATGACAGGGTGATGGGACAATAATATGTCTAAGCTCCTTCAGGCAAACACTATTCAGAAAAACATCCAAAAACTCGTTAGCAATATTTAAATGCTTTTGTCAAATGGGACCCTTGAAGGTCACAGTTTTGGCAGTATTTGTCTCTGCCCATGCAGTTCTCAGTTTTTCTTGCTCTAATAAGGTAGAGCAAAGACAAGAAAAATACCTCTGTGAAGAAGTTCACACACTCCATGATGCTCTAGAGCCAAAAGCAACAGCCCAGTACTGCAGAGACAGGAGGCTGTGGCACTGGCAGCCAGGAGTACACCCAGAAACTTGTTGTGTGCACCCTTCCCAGGCTCAGGGGGTGTTTGAATCCAAGCAAGCTGCTTGCCTGAATATTCAGTGCTGCCAGAAAAACTAGTCCTCATCAAAGTCTCTGCTTAAAGAAAGCCTCCTTTTCCTTTGAAACATCCTTCCCTGCATCAGTGGAATGTGCCCTGCAAGGAAAATGCTGTCATCAAGAAAAGAGATGAGTCCTGTTGGTGGTGTTTGCTATAAAATATGTCAATCGCCTTAAGATCTGCATCAGCACCTGGTCTAGGCTCTGAATTCTTACAGCTCTTTTGAGAACTCCCTACCCATGGAAACTCAAGACCTGTTCCTTTTGAGATCTTGTGTTGGCAGATTCCCAGACAAAGAATTTAAAACATCAACATACAAAATAAAATAATTTGAGCTGTTTTCACAGGTTTCTAAAACATATGAATAAAATATTTGGAAGATTTCTTTCTTTTTTAACCCTCTTTAAGTCTTGCCTTTATCACATAGATTTGTATACACTGATTGAAGTGTATACATCTGCAGCTGCTGTAAACAACAGTACTGAATAATATGAAGAGCTTCTGCAGGTCTTACTGCAAGATTCTCATGTTTAGAGAAATTAAGCTTTGCAGAGATGTTTTTCTCATAGGGTATACTTGGAATATAAAGAGGGGAAACAGTGTGTAGGCTTCAATATTTTATAATTGTAAATAGCTTCAGCTTTTTCTCTGTTCTTTCCCTGTGCCACATATTTTATATATGATAAACTGAGGACCAGCTTAAATTTAGCAGTGGTTATCAATGTAGAACATTAACAGTCACATGTCTAAAGAGAGACATAAGAGTTAATCACAGCAGAATGCAGCTGTAGAGTCAAAGGTAAGCCAATAAAAATCCCTGCAGAAATGCCTTTAGCTTGTTTTACTTAGAATTAGTAGGGGTTAATTATAGTGTGTGACTATCTCTTGCTCTACAGTACTATAGACATCTCATTAGCTATAGTATTTTACAAAACCATTTCTAACCATAAAATCTATTTCTTTAAAATAATAGCAATCAGAAAAAACAAATCATGTTCCCAGCTCATAATTGGAAGTATGTAAATTAAAATTATGTCCATTGCTATGCTTAGAGTTATAGCTTCTGATATGGTATTTTATAATGGAATTTAATTTTCTGGCTATTTAGTGTTTTACATCTGGTATTTATAGTAGAGGATTGTCAGTTAGTTGGAATTAAAATAATTTAAAAGGACAGCAGGACTTGAACTACCTACCCTTGCAGAACAACAGCTTATAACAGATCTATATATGAATAAACCTGATTTAAATCTTCCAAACAAACCCCACAAAAATCTCTGCCAAAAAGGGAAAAATTCTTCGGCAATTCTTCTATCTACAATGTTCTTTCAGGTAATAGCACATTTCAATATAAAATGAAATTACATATTTCTTTCAATCAGCTTTAACAAAAATTTGTTATGGATGACTTTCAGAATTGACTTAATATGACAGTTGAAGCTCTTCCTTTTTTGCATTAATTTTGTGACTTCACACTGTTAACATCTCTAGGTTTTAACATTTTCCTTTTTATTTTAATTTCTTAAACATTTTTGACCCTTGCAAAATATAGAATGATAAATTATATAAGAAAATGTACATTTTTAACATTGCATTTTTTCAATTTGAGAGGCCAAATCAGTCTGCAAACCCAGAAATTAATAAAAAAGTTCAATTCAGCCTGAGCTTGAACTGTAGACACCATTTTGGTTTTCTTCACAGAGTAGGGGGAAAATGAAAACTATAAAATTACATAGTTGTGATGACAGGTTATCTTCTTCAGGAATTTAAACTGATTTTCCTACCAGTTCCCATTTTAAATATGGGCAAATATTGATTTTCATTCTTCAGCAGTCGTAGCTGATGAAGTACTGAAAGCCTGAAGCAAATCTGAAATCAGCCCGTGCTACAGGCTGTATAACCAAATGGAGAGAAATGGTACCTCTACCAAAGGTTTGAAATACCTACATGTTAGAGACCAGCTTTGAGAAGTTGATTATGGCTGGAAATGGCATAACCAGAGAGTTCCAGAACCAGGAACAGTACTGGCTCCCTTCTTTATCAGTCCCTGACTACTGTCCATTCAACCAGTCTGCCTTATAGAGACTACTGCTTTTTTAATCACCCTTTTTTCCTTCCTGTTCTGCTGAACACCTTTGAAAGTGTGTGTAGGAAGAGGTGTAGGGATAATAACTAGTGACATCTTTACAAAACCAGAGGTCAGCTTTTCACCTACTCCTTTGCAGCTTGGATTAAATCCAGAAAAAAATCAAGAAGAGCATCTTGATGAATTCCTTAGAGCCAGGGAATCTCCCTGATCTCTCCAGGCCCAAACACTGCACGTGCTGAGCATGGGAGCCCCCCGAAGGCCAGGCTGCACAGAGCTCTGTGGAGATGTGCCAGGGCCTTTCACCCCAGGCTGAACCCGCAGTGTTCACTGGACACTTGTGTGTGTGACAGAGATCTCAGGCTGTTTTTTGGAATACATATTTCCTGGATACAGAGACTGAGTTGTAATGGGGAGGGTTCTGGTTATGCACTGTGCACAGCTGCCACAGCCTTTTAGGCATATGACTGAAAATATGTTTTTAATGTCTTGCAGATGTGTGAAGCTGGAAATCACTTTATCAATGTAGCTTTAGCTCACCAAACCAATTCAGGTGTGTCTTTGTTTCCTGTTCCTTAACCTATCCATCTTCTGCTGCTGTACAGTAATTTATGTACCTATATCCACTGAATAAAGAAAGATGAAGTAGTAACCATGCCATTGGCCTAACACCTTCAAAATCTTGTGACAAGGGAACATTAGCAACACTGCTGTTGTTTAAAACTTATAGCAAATTTATCTTAATTAGACACAACTGCAATTTAAATATGGATTTAAGTGCTGAAGTTCTTTAAAACATGCTGGTGACTGACATCAATGCATTTAATTTTAAATAAGTCTCAAAAACTTCCTAACTATATTGCAGAGTTTCTAGACACATTCATCTCCGGCAAAGATGTACATGCATATATTCAAATACACAGAGACAGACTCATGAATACTTACACAGTGTATATATATGCTCTTAAAAGGTTGGGGTTTCTGCATTTTTATGTAATGAGAATAAAGGTTATACAATATATACCGGAAAGTGAAATATGTTTTCAAACACTAATAGTGTAATTTCCCCACTAAACACCCTATTAAAGAAAAGACCACAGTATGATCAACTTCACACACAGAAGTCAGTTTCTATTCTGGAATGTTTTCATGCACTGTGGTTAGGAAACCACTTATGTTATTTCTTGCAAGGGGCTCAATTCAGCTTAAAAGCAGCAAGAGCCAAAAAATTGATTTAAGCTCTTTCTTAGTGGGATAAATAGAGCTCAAAAGATTTCACTGAAACTTTTCTAACAGGTACCCTGATAGCATTGGCCCAGGGGATTGCTGTTACATAGTCAGGCTGTGATAAGGCTCAGTTCCCCTCTCCCTGTACTGAAACTGGTTCTGATTTTCCCCACTCTTTTTTTTTCCCTTTCACAAGAAAATAGAACCTGTTTTCCAAGTCCAACCTACAATCCCTTTACGTGGCTCTTCCTGCTGGTATCCTGTCCCAACTATACATATGAGGTACATGACTTTCTTCTGCTTATGTGCAAGGGGTAGGTGGTTACTGCTTCAGCCTTTGTCTGCAGAAAATCTGCAACACCTCCACACATTTTCCTCTGCACATCTATCCTCATGCTTCTTATGTCACAGTCTCCTTGCTCCCACAAATGTTTCTCTACCAGACTCTCTTCTTCCCTCACATCACTATCACACGGACTTCTGTCTATATTTCCTTCCACTACAGTCTCCCCAATGATCTAAAGATTTACCACCCATCTCTTCTCCCCACCCATCACACTGGGGGGTTAATTTCTTACTATTTTTCCTCTCCCATTTCCAGTACAAGTACCACACTCTTTTTCCATGGGGAGCTTTTGAAAACCTGCCATTTTGCTTTACATAAAATATAGAACTAACAGTGCCTTTTTCTTTGCAACAGGCTGGGTCTTGGATTAGTTTCACAGTGATGACACAAACTCTGCCAGGTAAGTTTGAAACAGAAAGAAGGCAGCATTTAAAGTGTTTGTGGAAGAGAATTCTAGAAATCTAAGATTTGCCAAAAAAGTTTATAGCATATGAAATTTTGCCATCAAATTTGCCATATGATGCTCGTAAGAGCAGCCGGCTTAGTGGAATTTGTGACTCTTGCTCAGTACTCTGCTGCATCCTTAGAAGACCTAAACACTCACAAAAATATGGTCCCTGGGACTGAGGTCTCCAACACATTAACTTTTAAAATTATTTTTCCATTTCAAAACAGAAACCTATAAAAACTAGTTGTAAGAAGTAGCACCACATGGCTTACAAATGGAAAAGAAACAAATTTCAAAAGTGGGTTAAACTGCATGATGCAAAAATTAAATCAAAATTTTGTTTAAAAAGATGAAATGTTCTTGTGTTTTAGGCTTTGGTATGAAAATTATCTGAAAGTCTGGGGACAATGTAGGGCTGTCCCTACAGTGGCAGGAGCAGAAACATATGCAGCACACTCATCTTTGCTGTAATTGTCCCAGATGTAGCTTGACTGGATACCAAATGGATGTTCCTGATTAACCACAACCACATTAATCAAAGGATAATGAATTTGCAAAATGCAAATGCAGTAAAATTATCCCCTATTTGGTGCCTATTTGCTGGATCAGGCAGCTATTTCCTACTTGCTTTAGGACCGAGCTCTCCCTCTATACAGCAGGGAGTTGGAGCACAGCTCCCTGTCATGGTTGGCAGCCAGAGGTAGAAACAAAGAAGTGTTGTAGTTCAGAAGCAAACTAGAAACATGGTTAAGAGAGGCCATGGGTTGAGACAGCACCTGGCCAAGGAAGCCTTGTGATATATGGATTTATGGTGAAGTCAGAGGTGGTACAGGGTGTGTCTAACAAATGTGAAGGTCATCTGTGTGAATTCTGAGGTGGAGGCTGAGCCTTGGGCTATGGGATATCAGCAACTGCCAGGCTGAGAGGAACTGCTGTGTTGTGTCTGACCACAGAAAAGACTGCAAATATTTCCATAAACCCTACTGCATTTCCAGAAACAGGCACTGAAAGAACACACATGATCCTTTTCTTTAAATCTTTTTCCCTGCTAGTTGGCATCTTTGCTTTCCTGATGGTCATTCAGATGTCTCTGTGGGCCCAGAAGAAACACAAGCTGTATCTGAAGAGATTTTATCCAGAAGTGCGGAGAAAAGCAGCTATGATTCCCATCATCTTCTGAGATTGTCACCAGAGCTGGAGCCCGAGTGCACTCTTCAAGAGCCACCTCAGAGTAAATGAGCCATTTCATACAGGAGCTAAGTGGATCAGAGGAAAAACTATTGGATATCTTTTTCAGGAAATTAACAGTTCAAGGTGAAGAGATTTTAATTAAATGCAAAAATTTAGCTCTTGAATTCTTGGTTCCTGCTAAAAGATATGATTTAATTAGATTTTCTGTAATGGAGCTAATTGAAAAGGGACAAGAAAATTGCTTATATTGAATGCTAGATATTTAGCTGGTGTAAATGGGCACAGATGCTGCTAAAATTAATGAGCACAACTTGTCTGCCACATTCAGGTATGGTAATTTTAAGGTTCAGTGTTAGATGTTGAGAAGAGTGTTGGATTTTTTCATCATAAGATGTTTCACAGCCTTATTTTTATTAAACTGCACAGAAAAAGAACATTCTGCCTCAGCTCCTCTAAAGCATCACATCAAAGGATGACTACTATGCTGTGAACACTGTTTAGTCTAGCTTCACTAAGTTTTTCTTTTTTTTTTAAAATCAAATCTCATAGCAAATTGTTTAATACAAATTGGCTTAAATTGCTCACTGCAAAGAGGACTGCCTTTCTTTCTTTTTTAGGTAGGCAGATCAACCCCACAATCCCACAAGGGGACTGTTTGTGACCGCTTCCCATCTTGTAACTAATTTAAGGCATAACCTTGGGTACATCATTGAGGCTCACTTCCCTTTCTCACACGGAACAGTCTGGAAATAGCAGAAAACCTTCTGCACTAACAAGTGTGTTAAGATCCCCTTAAGTTAAGTTCAGTGACTGCATCCAGACACCATTCACCTTGCATGAAGCAGTGTGAAATCCTTGGGCACAAGGTGAAACAGGGTACAGCTCATTATCAAACAGGAAAGAGATGCCAAATGCATTTCAGCCCATATCTGAACTGCCTCAGGTGGACACTGCTGACAGGCTTCAGCTCCACTTCAGCTTGGCCAGGCTCTATCTGCTACTTTGCTTTCCAGGACATTATTTTTTAAGGGATTATTGTTATTCAAGCCCTGGAACTACTGAGTAGCTGTCTTTGCAAATCAGTGGCACCTGTGTCATGCAGGAGCACAATTTTAGTAAGTCAAAGCAAAAGAACCAGAGCTGTTTCAGTGGGTATTAGGATATGAAGAGTTAGGGCATTGAGTCCAGCTTTCATTTTATTTCTGTTGCACATTTATCAATAACTTCTGGTGCCCTTAGGCCAGTGAAAAAAATCTTGCCTAAAGAATTTTATAATCATTAGAGAAATACTGGAGTACACCAGCATGGCAGGCAGTTTGTCTCCTAAAGGTGCTGTTATCTTTGCTCCAGCTAAAGTGTTCTAACAAAGTTAATTTGCCTGGTAAATTGGGTTCACATCCCTCTTCTAATGTCTAACTTGCAACACTTATCCTATTAGCCACTGTAACTCAGTTCCATCTTTGTAATGCAAATACATCACTTTCCATATTTTTTTAACTTGTAACCTGTGAAATAAAATTTTTATTCCTCTCAACAGAAAACCCTAATCAAAGTGAATATCCAGTTCTCTGACCCAGACTGCTAATAAAGATCTATTTTTGAAAAATTATTTTCTGTACTCTTTAATCAAATACTTAACCACAATATTTTTAAAACTCTTTATTTCTACACAATGTTAGATGTGTGAATAAAGGCGGTTGTCTGTTTTGTTTTTTAATCCAGCTACTGAAATTCTTTTCCCTTTGTGTTTATTAAATGTCTTATTTTTGCAATCTTAAAGTTTTAAAATAGTCCATGTAGGAGAGTGACTTTTTAAAATCAATTACTTATCTATTAATCCTTTGATTACAATGGCTGCAGCTTTAAGTCCATTCAAGGCATGTTTCCAGTGGGATTCCAATTGCTTGGAACACGGTTCCTGTTTAACAGTTAGCTTAGGTGGAAGAAATGCTTCTGGAATTAACTCCCTGTTTATTAGTTGGTTGTTCAATATGTGGGATAAGGGGGAAAAGAGTTTTGGCTCCTGAAGTAAATGACTGAAGTTTTAAAGTAAGGTAAAAAGTAAAGTAAAGGGTGAGAGCAAACAGTAGGTAAGAACAAATGAAGATACATTGCAGAAGGCTGTCTCAGATAAATATGATAGATATTTTTGAGTTTCACCAGTGGGGTGTTGATGAGCTAAAACTGCTCTGAACAGTGTTAAATGGCCTCACAAATAGCAATAAATCTAACTTTCTGCACCTTTACCTTCCTACATATCTTCCTCTGATTTTCAAGGCAAGTTCCATGCAATTAGAAAATGTAAGTTAACTTCCTGGAATGGGAAGCATATTGTTCTTCAAAACAAAAAAGTTTATAAAAATCACCAGTCTTTGTTTTGATAAATATTTCGGAGACCTTGCTTATAGACTACCAAAAAATCCAAGCAAAGAGAAGAAACCCATACAGTTAAAAAAAGTATTACTATATAAAAACACCAACAGTGATTTTAGCCCTCAAGCACCATACGCATTTTCAATCAAAACAGTTGTCTTCACACAAAAATTTTAATGAGAAAGTTTCTCATAATTGTGCTGGTTACCTGCAGAAAAATGCCTTATTAAGCTCTACGTATCCAGGTCTTTCTTCTGTGAGGGGCTGATAGGGAAGTAAGTGGTCAGCTGCAAATTCCTTCATCTGTGTTTTCCCCTAAGTGCAGACCTCACTTCCCAGAGCCACCAGCAGAAGGAAGGCATGGGCAAGGCCACCCCACTACCAGAATCCCACCATGTTTCAAGGTCAAAGGGAATCAACCTCCAATGAGAGCCATAACAGCTCACAGAGGCAAATTACAACATTCCTCACAAAAGGGAGGAGGCAGGAGCATGGGACAGCAGGAAAATCAAGTGGTTGAAACTGGAAACATGTTCTGGTTAGCCATGAGGAGATGCTACAGACCCATGTATGGGAAAATTCCTGCTTAACCCTCCCCAGGAGGGAAGCCATCAGAACCAAGAGACCGCAAATAAAGCAAGATACAGGGACTAGACAAGAGTTTGGTCAGGAAAAGTAAACCAAATCAGATGGAGTATGCATAGATCCTTCCTGGCCTGCCCAATAAGGGCTGTATGAATGGCATTGCCACTGGGACTGAAGTGTATCTCAAAATAAACCCCGTTCCACACGGAGAGATTACTCAACTTCCAGGTCTTTCCATGCTCACCCTGCAGCTTACAACTGGGATTTTGTTGGAACTCTCTGCATGGATGAGTCTCATCTGTCCCAAATTATTCCTAAAACATGCAGATTAAGGAGGTTAAAGTAAAGCCTTCAGATACACAGCTCTACATTTTTGGGGCTGGCTCTTGCCATAAAATGCCAACCTGGAAAAGAGCAGGCACCAGCTCAGGCTTTCTGGTGGTGCAGGGAGGCGTTGTGATGGGGAACTGACGTGGCAGATGCTTCTGAACACAACTTGGCAGCCTATATTTGGATTCCTGGTTTGAAAAAGCCCTTAAGACCCAGCCATATGTTTGTCTTGTAAGATGGTTACCACATCTTCGCAGCTGACAGGAAAATGATCCCTGTGATTTCATCTTTCCATAGGGAAAGTGGAGCTCAAAAGGACACTGAAAGCAGAAGTGAATAAAGGCAGATGGTCATCTTTTTTTAAAGTTGCTATTATCATCAAAATATCTTGTACTTTGCATTGTTTTGTATAAAGTAAGTGACTCCAAATTGGCTTTTATCACACTAGGAACTGAGATAAAACAGCCTGTTATCAAAGCAGTTCTCTGAAAGAGAGCCTGCAGTGTTAACTAAATATAATAAAATAAAAATCACTGAATGTCAAGACTTCTGAAGCACACTGTAAGAGGAAAAAAGCTATAGGAAGGCAAGAGACTATTTATCTATTTATAGGTTTAACAAGTGTTGCTGAACTAAAAATTAATTCAAACCATAAAAAGCTTTTCAGCAAGCTAATATTTTCACATGATGCTTTATTGGCTTTCCTTTTCTATATTTTCCTAGGCACAAGTGCTGTCTACAAGTGATATTCCTTGTCATTAACATTCATGGAAGCTTTTAGAGAAACATACTCTATGCCTATCCCAGTGTTCAATAAATAAATGTAGATGAAGAGTTGTGCTGTCACTGAACACAGATTAGTACCTGTATGAACAATATTTTTTTATGAAAGGTCTGTTTTATCATAGGTGAGTGCACAGAGGCTGCTGTAGAGCTACAATTAAAGGTGATTTTCACATCACACACGTTTAGCATCACAGAAGAATGTTTATGTTAATGACCTCTGCACATCCTTCAGCCACCCGTGACTCTGATTCAAAACTCTTTCTGCAGGTATCAGCTCCAAGAGCTGAGCTGTTCCATGCCCTTATCATGGTCCTGGTGGTTGGTTATTCATTTGTGTAGCACAGCAGAGACTACCTTTCACCCAGTTCTTCCCTGAGAGGACATTTGAGAACACATTTTTTTTAATTGTCGTGTCCAACTGGACGAACAGTTGTCCAGTCTTGGTGACTGTGTGACTGAAATAATCTGTGTTGAATTTCCTTGGAACATAATAGTCAATCTAAAACCACGTTATCAAAAGAAAAGATAATGGGTCCTGAAATACGTATGCTTAGGTTAAAAAAAAAAATCTGCCACGTATTAACACCTCCACAATGCCCAGTCTTCTATCGTGTACCTGCTTTTATGTAACTTCTGAAGCCTTTGAAAACTCAGGAACCAAGTAGGAGGAAATCATTTATAGTTAAAAGAAATATGATAAGGCTATTCAATAATACTAATGAATTCATATTTAAAAAAGCAAACTTCACATCTTTTGTCAAAGAAATCTGATTGTTAGCCATTTTTTTCCTAACACATAATATTATGAAAAAGTGAAAAAGTAATACAGCTCTATGACTGATTCCTTTCAGTATTCTGAGTACCTGGTCATACTCAATGGGAAAAGGCTTTTGTTTCAAAATTGCAGGTTTCACCATATGGGGACTCTTTTAAAGAGAGGCTCCAAAGAAAACAGACCACCACATCAATAATTTTTAAAGTTCTAATTCATACTGAAAAGTTGATTAGCTTTCAGTTGATTGATGAAACTGTAACACAAAGTTACAAAAGAAACAAATATTTTAAAAGGTGTCTCTCCCCTCAAGGTTAGAATAGGGAAAAAATGATACTGTTCATTTTTTCTATTAATATTATGAGGCCATTTCCAAGGTTCTAGGGCATCTTTGCAAAAGGAGACATTGATTAGAGATCTGGAAGGACCAGAATGTGGTTGCACTGTGCTTTTAGGGATTAGCAGCTATGTCTTTTTTGAAAGAAATTTCACTCTTTCTGACAACCGAGCTTGACAGAAATGGATTAAAGATGACACATCTCCAATATTGTATCTAATAAAAAACAAAGCACCTATTCTTGAACCAACAGGGAATTTTTGTCACATATAAACACACACTGTACTCTTCCACCCTCTGGCTTACATTATCACTTTGCAGAGGGTGCTTTGCATTGGACTTGTAAGCCTGTCATTCAAACTCTTAATTACTTAGCTTTTAGAGCTTTGATATACACAATTATGTCACAGGAAAAACCCTTCATTTCAAAACACTGAGGATGTAGAGTCTTTTGCATATTGTTAACCAATTCCAGCCCTGTTGTCCCATATATACACTAATAATTTGCTGCCATTTTTAGATATCCTTCCAATGTGAAGCACAATGTTTATCTATATTCAGAGACTTGCAAACATCCCACCTTAATCCAGTTGCAAGCACAGAGCTAAATCTTGAAGCAGTGAGCTGCAATACCTGGCACTATCTGAGCCCTAGCTTCAAAATGCTTCTTGCTTTCTTTGCTCTAAACCTCTGAAGGGCTGGAGCTACTCAGGCACTTCTCTCTGCAAAAGCAGAGGTTTAATTCCTCTGGGTTTGCATTAGTATCTTGTTATGAAATTGTAAATCTGTAACAATAGAAACAGCAACACTCCCCCCCATGTTTGACACATTTTCCCATTTAGCAGGCTCTAGCAGGTAAAAGGAAGATAGATATTGTGCTTTTACAAATACAGGGAGAAACAGAACAGGGCTATGGTAATTTGAGAACACTACTTCACTCAGGCTTCTGCTCAGGGCTCAGCACCTTGGGCACCACTCCCAGGAAAAGGCAGTGCAATAAAGATTTCCTGAAATCTAATACAGGTGGTCTTGATTATGGATCTAGAATGAAATAAAGAGATAATGTATTTGATCACATGCAAATATTTGCTGGAAATTGTACCTCAAATCCTTTTGCACCTGGCTAGGAAATATCAATTTTAGAATAATTTTCACTCACACACATGACAGACTTGCATTTAGTGATGAAAGTTACACAGGGAATTACTGCATGACCTGCTGCTGGAGCACAGAATCATAGAATATGCTGTGTTGGAAGGGACCCATCAGAATCATCAAGTCCAGCTCTGGACCCTTCCCAGGACACCCCAGGAATCACACCCGGATATCTGGCCTGATAGCCAGATCCTTAGGGCACACACAAGACTTTGATTGAGGGTGTGAGAGTGTGTGAGCTTCGCAGAGGGCATTCAGCAGTCATACACAGGAGGTAAAGTCCCCACAGACTGCCCCACCTCGATGCTGATGGTTCTGAATCCGTGATGGACCAAAGCCCATCTCAGTCACTTCCTCTCAGAGTTCCTTTGCTGATGGCCCTG